AAATAAAATCAATAAAGAAATAATACAAACACCAAAATATAATACACTATTGAGTAAAACAACAAATCAGATGAAAAATCCAACAAGAAATAAATGTTCCATGAAATTGCAACTAAAAGCACATAAAAAATGCTGAAAATCAAAAAATCGCCTCCCAAAAGTCGTGAAATTCATTAAAAAACAAGATGAAATTCCTCCTAAAAAACTGACGTGCTGTTTTTATATCGATGACTCAACATATGATTCCATGACCACAAAAAATCCATCTGCTTCTCTTCGAACATCAAGAACATTCCTCCAGACAGGTGAACGTACATTCTCGGGTAATGTACATGACAACACATTGCAAAAAATCCAAACGCTTCTATTATCGCACTGAGCACTGTCCATAACTGTAAACTTTTGAATTATCGTACAACATCAAACATAATATTAAGAAAAATAATCGTAATATAATAATAATAACAAAATGATCGTAAAACATCATTATGACAATAACAGAATTATCATAAAACCATTTTGTAACACAATAACAAAATAACAGCACAACAAATACACTAACGATAATGTAGCAATAATAATAACCAAACAAACCACTAAAACGAACGCAGTGAATGCAATCAATCAAAAAATTTAAGTCAACCAAACATTGTAACAACTCACATCATGCGACCCTAATTTGCACACCGGAAATTCGATTTTGACCGGGCATCTGAGTGGAGGCGACTGTGGATTCATAGCGTGTGCGAATGGATCTTCTGGTATTGGGAACATGTGGAATGATAAATTGGTGGCTTTCGTGCATAAATGCCTGGTGATTTCAGCGATCGTTTGACCATTTGCCATAAACCATCGAATATTGATCTCGAACGCTTGTGTTGCCGTGTAAGTTCGATTGAACAACATCTGAAACCACATTTTTAAGAAAACACATTTCAAAATGATTTGTCCCAATCTGCAATGTTCACTCAAACTGAAATTTAGTCGTGAACCAAAAGTTTTCAACCACATACACTTATTCGATAACTTCACAAAGAGAATTCACAACTTATGATTATATGTAATACGTGATATGTATACGAATATAATAAGGTATCCTCGATTATATAATGCTACTGAAAGCGTCGTAAACGCCTACGTCTAGCAATATTCTCAAAACTCGGTCTTCGTTGACTTTCGTTAATTTTTCTTCATTCGCTCAATTATCTACTAATTTCAGAAGGATTGAAATTTATGTGCACATATATAACAAGGTATCTTTCATCATATAATGCTACTCTCACTTGTACATATTTCTTACTCGGCAATAAAACTATCAAACCAAATCACCCGCTATCATGAACAGACTGTTATTATTGCTATCATATCTGTTATCTGTTCACTGATTGACGTTAAAATGTTTCTAATTTTCAGTTTCAAAAGCACCCATTTGAGCAATGTTTTCAATGGGAAACAACAAGAAACAAGACAAATCAACGAACTCTGCCCCATTCGACATACTGCAAAAGATGTGGCGGTAGGTAAGGGTACTGTCGCATATTA